CCCGAGGCAGCGATCATTAATAGTTCTAGTGGATGATTCCTGCAATTATTTCTTGTCTCCTTTTTTCATTTCAAGTTTTCCTCCTTCGCTTTATAATTCACCAACACCTGGTGAGATGTTGGTCTGCAGCGATGGAGGATTTGTCACCTGCCTTCAATTACTTATCAAATTTGAAACGTGACGCATGCAAAGGTAGGTGGGCGTAAGTAGTTTAATCCTGATACATGCCAACGTGGGCGCTTTGGATTTAGCAGACAGCTTAAGAGTATTACAGGAGAATAAATCGACGTACACCTTGTGCTCTGGACCTGTGGGCGATACCGATTTATGAATAAGTGCCTCTGTTTAAGAACATTACACGTTTACTTGAACAGACAAAGCTCTTGTGGGAGTAGTTGAGTTTTCTGCAACGGCATACCTTGCGTCAATTTCACGGCTCAAAGCTGAAACAGGAGCTGAGGCCGCGCTTTACCCGCTGACGCGATAAATATCGCTGATTTGATAAGATATCGATAAGTGAGGGCTCATTATAGCTGCTGCTTCTTTGCATTGTTCTGGTACAGCTTCTGAACTGTGATTGGAACTGGGGGCCTTTTTTACTGGCTTTTAATTCTCTTTCTATTCTGATGCTAATGGACTATTTAGCAGGTACTCTTCTACTTACGATCAGAACGTCTTATCCATATCTAGATGAAAATTTGCTCTGAACGGAATCGTTCCTTTGTGCACACATATGTCATTCACTAAACGCACCCTCTGAGTGCAGTGCCACTGTATATCTTCCTAAACTCTCACATCTCCCGAGTGGTTTTGTTCTAGACGATTTGCTGGTGTCCAGCTTCTCAGCGTTTCGCACAGGAATTGCAAAGTGAGCTGTTTAGTAATCCCGATGATCTGAGGCATCTTTTGGATCGACTGGAAAAGCCGGAAGCTCTTTGCAATAGTTTTCGCTTCTACTGACAAGGCCTAAATTGCCGGTTGTGAGGGAAAGGGACGCTCAGTCCTCACTCGAGACCCTTTTGAATTCGTTAACCGGATTTTCCAAGAGAAACTGTCATGCAGAGTCGGCCACGTGTCTGGCTGAGTCAAACGGGGCAAGGAGGGCCGTATTTCGGAAAGATGTGGCAAGAAGGGGTTTCCGAGAAAGCTGGTATTTGTGATCTGAAGCTGGTAATACTTTGGGATTCTGGCGGCGGAGTTAGGATTGTGAGGAGGCAGGTTCAACGACGCAGTCGGATCGTCCGGTACCATTAACCGTCTGTAATCGTTGTAATCAAATGGTGGGGGCAGGGGTCGTATATCTGAAATAGATCAGACCACGATTGATCCTGTTCTCCTGTTGAACTTTTTTGGAGCATTTATGAAATCTCCTGAAGTCTTGGTCGATCTAGATCTCATTGATCGGCTAACAAGAGGCAAATCACGGTAACGAGTTTCGCTCCCACTCAAAAACCCAACATAAAAAAAAACCGGGTTTCATGATTGCGTGATGAATCAGGATGGAAAGAGATAAATTCGCTAGAATCCTCACCAAGCTATAATTCGTTTTTACGCCCACAAATCTGGTGCAATATCCTGGTTTTATGAGTACGCGTTCAAGAAGATTTAAGACCATGGCAGATTTGTCGTGGTTGAGTGCCTGTATATCCGCTAAAATCCGGCCGCTTATTCCGTTAGAGAGATTACTTCTGCAGGCAGAATTGATTTGTTTTGGTGTACATTTTTATTATTTTATGAGCTCAACGCCTAGAATATTCGAAATGTTTTCTTCTTTCTGAAGCGACTTCTTTCTGCTGTGAAGGAACATCATCAGGAAAGCTCTTGTTGTTTAGAAAACAGCTTAGAAAATGCAGGAGTAGGACCAAGGTTTGCCAAAAGCCAGAATTCTTCAATAGACTTTTAAAATATTTTGACAGTGGTAATATTATGAAACCTAATGGTGGTCGATCATTGGGCATTAAAGCCACTAACCTAAGGGCAAAGGTGTGGGAACAACTAAAGCAGATTCCCTTTGCAGGACTTCAATTGTTCCATCTTGGGATGCGCTATGCACATTTCTTTCCATTAGAAATGTTATTGGACTGCAAGCGTATATTTCAGCTTGTCGAACATCTTGATAGTTTTGCAATTGCTTTTTTATCCACTAAGTTTGTTACGGCTACTACCTGAGCTCAGCGGGTGGGGTAGTACTTCTGGTTGAACAGGAACCCGATTTGCTCTGGTGGATCCAGCTTTTGTGATGTGTGACAGCTTCGTCAATTTGGTCGTTATAACATGTAATAGAATAGTAGCTAAATAGATGGCTGTGTGTGTGTCTTTAAGTCACAAATGGATCGCTCAAGTCTATCGCTCGCCGCATGCAGCAAGCAGATTTGCATGAAATATCTGTCCCGATCCCCGCCCCGCTTGACTGCTTGAGTGCGCACGCCGCAAGTTTGCGCTGAGCTTCGTTTTGGCTCAGCGATTCGCACCTGTCACTGTGCCCCTGACGTATAGTACTGCGATTAGTGAGATGTCGGTCAGACTCTGCGATTGCATCGCGCGATGCAGTCGCTCTTGCAATGTGCACAAGCGATTGGCATCGCTCCAAAGTGCGAGCGACGGGAGATTTACCCCGCCGACGACCGATACACACGGCGCCGCTCGGGTAAATCTCCCGTCGCTCGCACTTTGGAGCGATGCCAATCGCCCGTCGCTTGTGCACATTGCAAGAGCGACTGCATCGCGCGATGCAATCGCAGAGTCTGACCGACATCTTAACCTTGGAGTACCGCAGCTATCAGAGGAGCACTAGAAAATTCAGCACGCATTCAAACACCATAATTTTCTTCAATGTGGACGGAATTTCAAACTGAAAAAAAATTGGGAGTACCTATCGAGTACTTTCTAAAGAGTATAAAGTTCTGGAAAAATAATGAAAAAACATCGTTTTCGGGTGATAACGAAAGCCATTCTCGAGAAGCGCTAGCTTTCCCACTTTGAAAGTGTAGGAATGTACTGCAGATTTCAACTTATTCAAAGTTATATGTTAATAAAGTTATCGCTGAAAGTTGCACTTCTTCTAGAGTAACGGATTCCCTGCTGTCATTTTAAACAGTCCTTTCCGGGGACCTCTTGATGTCTTCCATACTCACATCTGCATTGCAGGGATTAGGCATTGAAACGGGTTAGATCGTTCGAACTCGCGCAGGAATGCGCCATGTACTCGGCATCCGGCGCGAATCGCGGTTACCATCCACTCTCGAAAAGCTACCGCTGCCATGATAATTGCTGATCCTGGCTCTTCAACTCCTCTTGCCCACTGGACATGATATGGCCCCTCTCTTCGAGTATTGGTAAACGCACGCTTGACCTCTACTGGACTGCAACCTTTTGTGTAGTGCAAATTGCCTTCGAAAGCCATTACAGTTCTGTATGGAAGTCGAGCATAGCGCACGCTTAAGAGATTGGTCACAAGAACTTTCCCGACTTTTTTGAGTGCGCCATGCATTCGATTCCGGTTCAAAATCGTGAATGTCTTTGAGTGCTATCACGCTGACACATAGATCTGCAAGGAATTACCATTTCTGATTTTAAGCGCTTATCTTGTCAATTTCTATCATGCCCCACCAGGACAAAATGAGCTGAAGGGATCGATACCGGTGATTTGATACCGAATTGATACTGCATGTTATAAGGAAGTGTCATGCCGTTGCGCGGTTACCCTCACATTTTCATTGCTCATTTTTCTCCCGCAAAGGAATACATTGAGTGTCAGTGGAATTTAGATCGAATAATTACACCAAGGACCCGCTGGCACGATGTGAATGCGAACCACCGTACTCCGGTGAGAATGCGATTTCTTGCCGAAGTGATCTCAACCCACCAAATGGCACCTATCCTTTCCCAGCGCTCGGATTTAGGGATCACGGGTCCACTGATATGAAGGTGAAGTTTGGTTTAGACCTTACCGAATCGTATGGAATTTGAAAGGAAGAGGTTCAGGTAACGAACTCAAAATTGATGGAATCGCTGTCGTTCACGGCCATCGCTGGACCAACATACGATCCGACACCCGTGTTCGACTGGACGAACTCACCGCTCGGAGAAATTGTGCCGCACTACGGGCAACCAGATCGATGGGCGTAAGTATTCGTAGCTTTATTCTAGTGGATAATAGTGTTCTTCTCGCGTTCTGCTTTGGCACGTGCTTGTGAGGAGATCTCTGCTAGTTGTGCGCTATTTGCAGCGCGAGACGGAAATCTGGTAGCATATTTCCAAATTTTGAACGCTACCTCTGC